CTTTTTGTAGCAAAGCATGCACCATTTCCAGCGGTCATGCCGTTGTTGCTTTATGGTAATCCGACGGCCTGGGGACTGAGGGACCAGAGCTGAGACCAGAGCTGGGACTGTGGTAGCTCCTCTGGGCTCTCCACACACATGTGCACTTGGTCAATGGGAGTCTTGATTATGCAGGTATAATTGTGGGAGGTGTGGAACAGAAGCCTCAAGGTCAGGCTGGTGTGGCTCATCAGCTCTAGCCCCTATTACTTTAATTAACTCCTCCGAGGGGCTTAGGAGGAGGCCTTGTTAAAAAATCCCCACAATGGAGTTGACATGCATTGTATGAAAAAGGGTAACATGCTGAATGCTAAAAATAACCGAGGCACAGCACACGATGACAAGAAAAGTCATTATGCAATTCAGCATTCAGAAAAAAACAGTTGAAGAAATTAAGTCCAGTGCAGGCACCACAGTGAATGACCACTGTTTCTTCGTGTCCTAAGCAGATTGCCGCCTCAGCAGAGCTGCCTACGGCCTCACCCTGTGGGGAGCAGGACAGCGGTGCCATGAGATTTGGCCAGGACACAGACAGGGGCTGCACAGGGAAAATGGGGGACTGTGTCAAATGAATATGTCCTTGCAATAGAAAAAAAGCAACTATATTTATTATCACAGGGACAAAAAATAGGGACATGTCAACCAATATGTTATTCTAGTCGTGTTCATGTAGCATGGCACAATTAACTCATTTTCTTTACACTTAATGGTCATTACACTGTTTTAATTAACACATTTGTGTTTTACTTTGTTTTGAATACATCTGTTAACAATATACATAAAAAATCAATGGCTAAAATGGTTGATTCCAACTGAAGTGCAATAGTCCATTCAAGCGAGCCCATTAGGGGACCTTTTCCAATGACACATGTTGCTAAGGGTGCTAAAGGACAGATCTGTATCGTTGCTTGTGGATCAATTTGAGAAGTTTAATTAGCCGTGGGTCAGACCAGCCCGGTGCTGGCACCAGGTAAAGCTCATCAGTGGGAGGCTTACAGGTGCCTTCAGCCTTAATCTCTCCGCCCATCTCACTGAAATTAAAGCAGCAAATGGGAAATTGATTTCTAGCCCCCCTGTCCATGGCAATATCTTCTTTTGTTTTAAGGACATTAGGTAGGTTTGCACTTGACTAAGCTCTTTTCTAAAACGTTCATTATTGACAGAAAGCCCTAATCTTGCCCAAGGCCACCACTGCCATGGAGAAGATGAAACATAAATAGACCTCTTTTGGTGTCTGTGCTCTCCATGGCAACAGGTCTTTGATGCAACGCTCCTCAAAACAAGCTGAGTGCAGAGAACGACTTTGACCTCTTTACTCTGGCCCAACCGAAGCTGTTGCTGACATAGCACCTCCTGCAAGATTGAGGAGATTAGAGCTCGCTGAGAGAGCCGAGTTCAACTCTTCAAATAGAAAACCTCAATGTCATCCCGTCGATCAGTTAAATCAAATATATTAGCTTTAAGCTAACAGGCCTATGGGCTGATGAACATAGTAGAACAAAGCTTTCCAGCTCCAGTGAAGAAGGAGCAAAAGCAACCTAAAAGCGGATGAGTCAGCTCCATGGTGAAGCCGAGGGCACTGATATCACACACTCAAATGCTGGAATTCTTTCTCCCACATGTCACTTCCCTCAAATTGCACTCTCTGTTGTGCAGTGTTGATGTTTTCCACTATATGGCAGAATGCTATTTGTCATTCTAATGAACTTCTCTGTGGGAAAAAAAAGATCCCAAGGAACATTTCTCAAGATGTCAGGGAGCCCAGAATGTAAAGTGTGCAACACAGTTAATTCAAGTGGGCCTGCCCCACAGGCATGGGGCATGCCTGTGTATCAACTCTTAAAAGGCCCAATTCATGCCAAATTAAAGCAGGGAATAGAGGATTTCGGAACAGCTCCAGAACTTGTTGTTCTCTACATTTGGGAAAATCTGACAAGCAACATCAGCCCCAGTTCCCAGTCATTAACTAGCCTCTGGTTTCAGGGGAGCGCACTGAAAACTATGAGCCAGGTATGCAATATGTACCATTATACATTATGTATACGGAGGAGCACCACAGTCCCTTTTCCTCATTATTCAAAATGCACAGACACACTGTGCCCATGGCCAATGCTGCTGGAGGAGGAGTACAGAGTGTGCACCGTAAAGAGAAAGTAGTAGTTAGCCGCTGTTGTGTACATGTGATAAATCTGCTGGTATGCCAGGGCTCTTTTCTCATTTGTTAGGCAGCCATGTGTGAAAATGTTAATGAAGGCCCATATAATCTAGGAAATTCTCAGCATTAGAATTTCCTCCACGTAGTCTGGCTTTCTGCTTACACACCGACTATTGTGAGCATCAATCCTTCCACTGTCGTACTAATAATAGACCTAATTGCTTCAGTCAGCCCACTTGCTTTCTCTGCCCCTCTGTGCATCTCAAAAAGGAGCAAAGGGCTTTCTCATGACAAGCTCGTGGCATAAAACAGTCAGGAAGAGAGGCTATATATAACAAGTGGACAGAAATACCATGTCTCTCTGCATGGTGTCCATCATCTACCTAGGCTCCATCATCCTTTCACATCAAATATTTAACGTCCAGATGCCAAAATATTTGCCAGGGCCTAGCCAGCCTCAGCAATGCTTTCCCCCTCTGCCTCATCTATTATATATAGGGTAGAATAAAACTGGGCCTTATGACATGATGTCTTCCACTGACCTCAAAGACCTATCCTATTTACAGTAAATGTAATTAGTACAACTAGGAGTCTTTGTTCGGAACAAACTATTTAGCAATTATTTAACATCAGCCTGTCCTTGCACAAGTTGGAGGCAAATATATTAGTTTGTTTTAAATTCATTGCTTCTCGAAGGGTTTTTGTCTCTATGCACCTGGGTTGAATAATTACTCTTAAAGGAGAGGTGAAGGTATGGCATCCACAATCTCTTGGGCTTTTTGAGGGTACAGTGGGGTCAAACATCTATGAACCTAAGAGGAAAACAAGCGTGTCAAAGCTCACGAGATAATAGATAAAGCTTACTTCAATAGGAAAACTATTCAGCTCTTTCAAAACTGAAGCGTTCATGAGAAATTAGGCCTTAATGTACAATGAAAAAGTCAAAGTTTACCACAGCAAAAGTGTACATGGGCAGAGGACTTTCACACTTTGTTCTGTGTGAAAAGAGCTGAATTCAAATGTCATTCGTGACTTAACCTTGTGTTTTTTATCTTGAGAAAAACCTTGTGAGTGACTCATCTTTGTTGAATGGTTTGAGTTACATGATTTTCATATACAGCAAGATAGAGAGGAAGTCAATGGCACAGCATGTAAAATTGCATTTTTTGCATTTTGAGGGTCACCAGCTCATTTTCATGGTAATGTTAAACACCTTCCAAGGAGAGAACGTCAGAAAAGCTAAAGAGCACACTTTTAAAACAGATCAAACACATAGCGCACATTTCATTCAACTGCTATGATGTATGCAGAGTTTCTTTAATTCCGAATCTGCCTTTTAATAAAACATACTGTTCCACATCAGTAACAGCATAGGACCTATATAACTTTAATCCATTGCCAAACAGAACTATCTCACACATATTTCCGTCTTTGCCTGACTTCTGAGAATCAAGAAAGTCTTTGTGTACCTGTTCTTGTCACTATCTGCGCCTACACTCACAGCCTGTGGGCTCATTTTGGATTTTTAGGAAACGGGCTCCCACTGCAGCCGTGGAAGAAGAGCAGGTGTGTCAACCCCAGGGTCCGGAAACCTTCCAATTAAGACACATAGAAGCTACAGCATTTCTCCAGACTGAACACAGCAGCAAACATGGGTTACCTTCACTTAGTCAGAGGCACCAGCGTCTCTGTGTGCTGTCCCTCCTGCTGCTCCAGCCAGCCTAGTTTAAACCTATTTACATGTGTGCTGTAATTGCCCAAATCCATCTGCACCCAGCTGTTTGTGACACAGACTGAAGAGCTGTGTTGGAAGGTCACATGGTGTTCTTATTAGAAGTGAACGCTGAACCTGGCTTTTATGGGTTTGTGATGCTGGAACAATGTAGAGGATTTATTCCCTTGTGCCTGCAGACCACGCACAGGTAAGATATAACACACGTGATACATGAAGGAACTAAATATTAAGAATGAATGAGCTATTGTTAATTCCACTTATACTTCAGGGGAAAACAATCTTCAAGTAGGCTAACAAAAAAATACATTTAACCTGATTGAGGCCAACTCTCCATAAATCGGATCTACTTGCAGCCAAGTGCTTTCACTAACTTGTACATAGAGAAAGAAATGTTTAACGCTGCAGTGCCTACATTTTTAACCACAAACAATTAACAAATAATGAATCTGTGTGTTCTCAATTGAGAGACCTATTACAGTCTGACAGCAGTGGGGATGAAGGTTCTGCGGTAGCACTCCTTCTTACACTCAGGGTGCCTCAGTTTTAAGCTGGAATTGCTGCTTAGCTCCTCTACCGTCTCGTGCTGTGAGATCAACAAAACATAATTATGAAACAAACAATGTCGGAAATGAGAGAACAAAAACATACATACACACACACGCAGCCATCCATCCTGGTCTGGTAAAGGGAAATGTTATGGACCCAATGAATAGTAAAGTGAAAAGTACTTAAAACTTTCTGAAAAAAAAAAGTCTACTATCTGCACCACTGACTGGGCCATTTTCACTCAGTTCATTTCAATTTGAAGAGACAAAAGAGTAAGCCACGTCAATAATGTAGATGGATATTTGATCAGAAGGCTACAGACTTTGACTTTCCCTTTTGCAAAGTGACCATTAACACAACCTCACCAAAGTCATTTGTCTGTGAACTTGTTGAACATCTCTAAAATGCTCTTTTGTCTGAGCTGGAGTGACACTGTTTTCTGAAAGGTTAATTGCTTCTCGTAGTAATAAAAGGCCGGATTGGAGGCTGTGATTGACATAAATAGAGGTGGCGAGTTTCTCCAGCATGTCCATCCTCGCTGCCAGGTCAGATTGTGACTGTTGTGATTTATTATTAATGACATCCCGTGCACTTCCTGTGACTTTCTTTTTATTGGGTCCAATGCCTTTATATGGCCCATCCTGGAGAGAGGCCTGTCCGCCCAAGTCCAGCTTTACAGCCTGGGATGAAATAAATTCTTCCAAGGTCCATTCGCATCATGCTACAACTTATTTGATGCTAAAGATCAAATAATTCATTCAGCAATTACACAGGAGAATTTACTTTTAAGCAACAACAATACTATTGGAGGAGCAATAAATCTTTTTTGCCTCTGCATGCAGTGATTACTCTCTGTCTGCGCCGTGTTGGACATTACACACAGCCGGGACGGAACGTTGACATCGCCATTTGCTACCTCAGCCGCTTGTGAGGAGAAGGTGCAGGATGAATGGAGTAAATGAAAGTTTAAAACACCGCGCTGAATAAGAAGAATGAGAACTTCGCCAACACTTAGATCTGAATGGTGATTTGTATTGTCTACTCAATTCCTGCTTCTCACACGCTGTTAGAAAAACGTGGATTATCAGACGACACAAACATTCCCTCGGATTGAATTTAAGTGGCAAAATGAACATTGTACTAATATAATATATGTTGCTCTGTTCTGTGATAAATGGGAAGGTGGTGGTTATCCAGAGGAAGGGATTAATTTCTCGCAGTTGGATTCATATTTTGACCCCTGCTGTCCAGTGACACTCCTACAGATCTTAAGCTCTTTTAGGCAAGAGCACTGAATTGATTTACATCTTATTTGTAGGGATGGTCCAATACACAGTTGTGATGCCATACTTTTTTCTGGTATTGTCAGTATCGTAAGTACTTGACTCCGGGTACCAGCCAAATTATTTTGTCTCGTAGTCATGCATTATTCAGATTTTCTAGACTAATTGCCACATTTCAAGCGTAACGCATACTTATCAATGTCTATTAAATTTGTTTTTCTCTGCGGTTCACTTCAACATGTGTACATGCCACAGTGATATATCCTTAGGCTCGAATAACCCAATGTGTTATGGGACTGTTATCGGTATTGGCACCACCTACAGGGCTAAGCATCATTTTGGATCCGTCTATAACACCACGTACAGTATATTAACTGATGATGATACTCAAATTATCTGATACAAGATCAGTGTGACTTTTTCACCTTTTAAAAACAGCCAATAGGAATTTGTGAGTGAGATGGAGGAATTGAACCTGAAATGGCTCAGCATATTTTCCGCCTCTTTCCTGTAGACACCCTTGGAAGCTTGTGCCAAGCCTGAAGGTCAGCCTGCCCCCTCATCAGCCCTTTTGTGGAGGCCATGTCGCACACAAAGCAGCTGGGGGCTGTGTGCTGGCGACCAGGGGTGCAGGGCGGATCGTCATTGACCACCACTCCCCGCCTAATTACCTCCTGCCCCGGCCTCGCCTGTAAGTAACGCTGGTCTGCCGCCATGCCTGGGAGCCTAGCCTCATTAGATCCAACAGAGCCCCACTGACTGAGCGAGACAAGAGACACTATCCTCCCTCCTAATGGGCTAGCGAGAAACACGGACCGACAATAAAACATGGAAGAAAACACGTCCTAAGAGCGCATGACTAAGCGTTAACCCCAGTATGTATTTTGAAAGAGTGGAAATGAACGCTTAAAGGTGTCATAGCTGCAATTCATCTGTATGTGCTTGGTTCTCTAATGGCTCCACTAAGCATACCGACACCATCCCTTTAACTAGCTTTGATTCCCGCCCGTGTCAGCAGAGTTTCCCTGTCAGCTCCTTCCCCGCCGTGATGGAGATGGGAAAAAGCGCCTTTACTTAGCGACTCTTATTTGTTTGGCTGTTTGTTTCTCAGTGTTTGCTTTCATATTTATCCTCTATGACTGCCTATTTGTGCTGGCAATACTCCCCAGAGAGGGATCAGACTGGTGAGATTTGGGCAGAGGGAGAGAGGCGAAAAATACAGCTCTTTTGAAGGAGAATGAGGAGAATTGAAAATGGCCAGTGTTGTTGGAGGAGGCAAAATGAAGAAAGCCAATCTGCCTGTGCGGTCAGAGTAGTGAAGAAGCCAGGAGGGATAGACAAAGCGAGATTCAGATTAGACTTAATGGATAAAAGAGGCAAATTAAGGAGTTACAGAGTTTGACGTGAAATTTGATCAAATAATAACAACTAGAAGGGATATAATATAAACCTGCTAATAAGCCACAAGAGGGTGCTGTGACAGAGGGTGTTTTGAAAAATACAGGCACTTCAACAGTGTAAAGCATTTTTTTCTCACAGATACAAAACCATACATACACTTTTCAGCACATGTAAAGCCTCTTTTTGTGTTACTTCAGAAGTCCATTTAGATCAATAGCACAGATCTGTAATTATGATTCCCTATCTACTAATAAGAAACTATGCTTTGTTGACCAATCAAAATGGTGAGTATACTAAACTTGCAAAGCTGAAACTGTTGAGATCAAGCAACTCAGGAAACACACAATAGAAATCTCCATAAAAGTTAAGTGCTCGTCACATTTGCACCTCCCTTAATGCTTCCCATGCACTGATGACTGTCATTTATTTGTCTCATGCTTAATTTATTTAGCCGCTGCACTCTTGGGTCTCTGCCTGCTATAATAAAGTACGAGGTGATTTGTTTTGTCTCTTTCATTGTAGCGCTGCATATGCTGTCCCGGTTGGTTTGGGTTTTGTTCGACGAAGGTACGATCAGAGTCAGTATATTAATCAAAATGTTGACAAAGAAATGCATCCCGTACATAGCCAGGTCCCACCGGTCTGCGTCAAGACACATCCCAAAATCTTTTCTTTAAGAGAGGGTCATCCATCCAGAAAGACTGCTGTATTCTCTGCTGCTGTATATATGATGCATAGAAGCTCTAGTATTGGCTGTCACATGGACTCAGTTCCCAAACCACGTCCTTGGCTCTGACCTTCAGCTAGCTTCTGCACACTTAAACAGCACTTGCCATGGGCTTTTCTTGTCAGCAGCGGCCTACAAAGTGAATTGGTAAAACTAGCCCTTTCACCCTGTGGGCTGTTCCGCCTCTGTGCACCATACAAAGATGCTCCGCCATGTCACCCGCCTCCCAAACCAAAACAAATGAGTCAGAATATTCAATTTAGTCTTTTAACTTTGTATTCATTCTTTCCTTTTGTAGTTGTCTCCTATACCTTTCACGCGCTGTGTATCTTTCCCGCTCTGACCCCTTTCAGAGTCGGCTGCGCAACATTTTTCTTTTTCCGTGGTTTCCCTCAGCTGCTTTCAAGGCCTTTTGAGAGGACCAATCCCTGCCGCAAAAGTTAACAAATGAAATGAATGAAAACCACTGGTACATGACTTTTCTACAGCGGAATGCTCCATTATCCCTAGGTTTAGAAGCACACACACATGCACTGGTCGCCATGTGATTGGTTATAAACGCGACTAAGAAAAGTTATATCTCCGAATGCAAGCAAGTGGAATAATGGCAGGGCAGGAGGAGGGAGCGTTGCACAATGTTTTAAACCGTTTGAGAAATTGATTTATTCTTACCGATCCAATGAACCACATGTATTTTCAACCAACGGATGACGGATAAAAGGTATCATTTGTCACGAAACCACTGGTCCACTCAAAGGAACAGGAATTGTTTGTGAACACGCATAAAAATGGCGTATGTACATGCCACAGAATATGTGATATCTAAGTTACATTTTTGTTTCTTAAGTGCAGTCAGTATTGTGAGCAATGGCTTCAAAGTTTTGGGGCGAGAAGGGTAATTTTATCCTGTTCAATGTTGTTTTGTTGGCGCTTTGGACTGTCTCTCCAAATAAACCTCTATATTAGAATGAGTTGTGGTGACAGCCTTGCATGACAGAGGGCTATTACAAAACATTGTTGGTGCTTTTCAATATGGTGAATGAGAGAGAAGGCTTTCAATTTCCTCGCGTGCAGTGTGCTGTATTATTCTTTTCCCCCGAGGAAGAGTTAACAACCTTGAAGCATTGTAAACATCAACCAAAACCTGGGAAAAGGTAGAGATTATCAAAGGGATCCACCTATAAAAACAAACATCTGCTATGATAAGTTATCACCGAATTTTATCTGTTGATCAATTCATACAGCCGTTTTCTCTTGTACAGGCATGTTTCATTCTCTTTTTATTGCACTGTTATCTTGAAACACACTCAGGTTTATCACGTTCCAGCAATTGTTTTTGATTTTATTCATGATTTAGTCTCTGCCTGGGATAAAACAAATGGGAAAAGTCTTAGCAGTTCTGTCATGTACAGTGTAAAGCCGACCAAGAAGTCTCATAGATTAATCGCGAGGTAACCAACAATCAATCAGGATGGTCGCAATTATCAAGTCACAAAAGCTTGTGTACAGATCTTCTCCGCAGTGAGATTTATCAACATGATTCCTAATAAATAAAAAAACTGTCCGCAATTAGATAAAATAATAACATCTGCCAACAAAAAGGCATCCGTCTCCATCCTTCTCCATGACATATTAAGATGTTCTGTCTAATTATGAAATGTGTCTAAATGTCTTAAAAGTGCTCGTGTTAACAGAAGGGAATGTTTTAGTCTACATTGCCCTCAAATGCAAAGGTTCCATTGGCATGTTTAAAATGAGCACAAAATCATTTTAATACATTATTTTAGGCCATTGAATATGCTAACTTTGTCATTTCAAGTTTTAGAATTTGAAGTATAACGTATATTGGGAAACAAGTATTAACTTGTGATTTTTTCAAGGGTAAAAAAATGTTTTCCACCAGTAACTCCCTATGCTACAAGCGGAGGGAGGGGTTAACCGTGTTTGTTTTTGTTTTAAAATTTTAAAATGCCTGGCTGCAAAGGTAGAAAATTAAAGGGTAGAAAATGGATGGATGGGCTGCAAAGAGCCATGCGATTGCTAAGAACATAATTTCACCTGAGAAATGGCCAAAACTAATTTATGCGTTTTGTTCTAAATGGAGAAAACTACTGAGAGTGTGATGACATAGTGGTACAATGACATCATAATATTATAGGATTGAGGCAGGAGATTTTATACAGAAGAGTCAGAGATAAATGTTTTTAAAAAAACATGTTTTTGAATATGAATCAAAACTCCTTTAAAAGCTGATACACCTCCTTTAAGTAGGGGAGTGGACGTCACTGCAATAATAAAAAAAAAACATTTCTCTTTTAGAAGCACATAATTCTCAATACACTTAATACTACTGCTTCAAGTACTTCTCCCATATCTGCTATAAGTTGACTGCCAATCACCGGCTCTGAAAGACAGCCAATTCCCTTCAGGGTGCGTGTTTGGGTTCAATGAGAAGGCAAGGGCGCGCTCCCCTATAGATGACAAAACAGTCACGCAGCAGGCAGCCAGCTAAAATAAAGCACAATCAATTCACACTATTCCAGCAGTGAGCCAGGACCCCCTTTCTATCCCCATCTGCTTTTTCCCAAATCGGGCGATCACAACTGTCCCCTCTCCCTGGTCACATCCAGCACTACTTTCTCCCTTCATAAATCTGGATAAGTCCACAAACCACTGTCTGGCATGCTCCATCTGCCTCGCTCAGTCATGTAGTGCAAGAGTGAGCCCCTGTCTGCATATACCTGCTCTGTTCAGGCTTATTTTAAAGAACGGGGAAAGTAGAAGGAATCAAAGTGGAAAGTGCAGTCTTGTCTGTGCTCCTTGCAATAAAACTTTCCATATAACACTTGCTATATGATATAATGCTGTTTCTTGTATAATTGAACAGGCATTAAATTATTGCAATTATTCCAGTCCTCACATTGTAAAATATTTTCCTGTCGTACATTGAAAATAACAATAATACAGATGCTAAATTAATATGCACTGGTAGTTCTTTATGAGAGCGCATTTCCCACATTTAATGGTTGGTTTTGTATCCAGTGCTGGCAAATTAGATTCATATAATAAGGCCTTTGTCAAGTCCTGTACTCAGTATTTATTGTGCCGCAACCAGCTGTTCAGTCCGTGCCAGGTTATGTCAGGTTCACTTTTTCCCAGCAGCACCTCATTGCGGACCTCTTAAATTGTTTACATTTTTAATTTGAACAACTACGTAAAATATAACTGTATTTTGTCTCTATTCACATTTTCATGAATATCTAAGTGAACTGTGTTGAATGTGATTTGTGTGTCAGCATTACTTTATTTTCAGCAGCCTTGAGTAGAAGGAAGACATAATCAACTTCCAGCAGGCTCCTCAGTGTTCGCGTTAGTTTGATACGAAATATTAAATTTTTTAATTTGCAGGCATTTTAACGGTATCTTCATGATAGAATTCGAGTCAATGTAACTCTATAAACCTTTGCATCTCCAAAATGTTAATGAATGTTTGATACAAACTGCATGTTTAAAAGTCACACAATCAAGAGCAGGCACAGTCATTCTTCTGAAAAATCATCTCTGCTT